GCACCTGAAGGAGAGAGTCATAACCCCCTTTTCCTATGAAAGCTTCCTGAGTAATGCCAGCTAGATAAATGGGGCCTAAAGGGAAGGGCAGATTTGAGTTTTTGGAGCAATTGGAATTAGTTTCTCTTGCCTTACAGGTGTCACAGGAATTGATTCCATTCTATAACTCTGTCTATTATTCTATTAAAATGAAATCAAAGCGCCTAAGCATATCTTTCTGTACTCCTGAGAGACCGTGTTCCTCAGTTGATTCTTGATGAACTTCAAAGTGGATAAGAGTGAATAGGAATTTGCTGACTAGGTCAACCATATTATAGCACCAGTCAATAAATGTTATCACCACATAATTTAATAGCAAATAATAGCAATCCTGCCCTATTCTGGCAAGCTTTCCTCAGTACCATTTGACATAAATTGTCGTTCTGAATCACATAAGTGATTCAGTTCCATAGGTTGTTTTTTTCTTTAGCAGATAAGCTCTCCCAGGAATATCTTCAGCTGATGGAGCCGCTTTAGGCCCAGGAATATGACTCAGTGGATGAGAACAGAAGAGATCAGTCATTTTCACACGTTTAATAACAGTCTATATAGAATTTCCTTAAAAATAGCTCAAAAACTTCTTTTTCTTTTAGATTTTGCAAAAATATCTCCGCAACTTTGAGCAAAACTAAAAAAATCTCAACAACTTTGGCCCAAAGAACTTTGCCACCCAAACAGTAGCTCAAAATGCCAAATGTATCCACTGGCCCAGAAAGGTTGGAGACACCTGCATTATCTAGTAAGTTGCAGTCAGTTACAGGTGAAACTCAAAAAATTAGAATATTGTGGAAAAGTTCATTTATTTCAGTACTTCAACTTAAAAGTTGAAACTAATATACGAGATAAACTCATGACATGCAAAGCGAGATATGTCAAGCCTTTATTTGTTATAATTGTGATGTTTATGGCGTACAGCTGATGAAAACCCCAAATTAACAATCTCAGAAAATTAGAATATTAAATGAAATCAGCAAAACAAGGACTGCAAATAGAGCAATATTGGACCTCTGAGAAGTAGAAGCATGCACATGTACTCAGTACTTGGTTTGGGCCCTTTTGCATCAATTACTGCCTCAATGTGGCGTGGCATGGATGCTATCAGCCTGTGGCACTGCTGAGGTGTTATGGAAGACCAGGAAGCTTCAATAGCAGCCTTCAGCTCTTCTGCATTGCTCGGTCTCATGTCTCTCATCTTTCTCTTGGCAATGCCCCGTAGATTCTCTGTGGGGTTCAGGTCAGGCGGGTTTGCTGGCCAATCAAACACAGTAATCCCATGTCCATTGAACCAGGTTTTGGTACTTTTGGCAGTGTGGGCAGGTGACAAAGTCCTACTGGAAAATGAAATCAGCATCCCCATAAAGCTCATCTGTGGAAGGAAGCATGAAGTGCTCCAAAATCTCCTGGTAGACGGCTACGTTGACCCTGGACTTAATGAAGCACAGTGGACCAACACCAGCTGATGAGAGACATGAGACCGAGCAATATAGAAGAGGTGAAGAGTGCTAATGAAGCTTCCTGGTCTTCCATATAATAAATGAACTTTTCCACAATATTCTAATTTTTTGAGTTTCACCTGTATATTACCCTCCATAATATATATTGATGGAGGGGACTGAGGTGTAGTTACCATACTTGCCTAAGGCCATCTAGTGAATCTGCAGAAGTAGAAATACCTGGTTTGCAGCCCAGTCTTTTAACCCTGTAAACTACACAAACCCCATGTGCATTTATGGTGTTTTGTAAATATTAAATAACAACAAGAACAACAATATTTGTGCTTGCATCAAGTTAGGGAAAGCACTGCAAAGTTGGCAAAGTAAATTTCAGGAATGTGATGGAGAGGATTATCACCAAGCTTGTAAGAAAAATACATCCGAGGATGCATTTCTATGCACTGAATCAGTTGACTTATTTTAGCTGTTCAGGAATTTTGTTGGGCAGTTGTTGAGGTCTTCTGTCTTTGTTTTTATTGTTTCTATTATTTTTGTTTTGTTTTAATGCTTCTGATTATTTTATTTTTCAGCAACTCTAAACTCTGAAAAGGTGGCCTAAAAACAAACAGGTATATAAATAGAGAGCCCACCCTAGACACACAGTTAATTGCATTGAAATGGAATTGTATGGGATCAGCTTGTTTGAAATCCTGTATCATGTCCTGTTGAAGCCAGGATAAATAAGCTACAAGTATAGACTGTAAATAATAGTCTTGTGGACAAAAGGAATTAACTGCATTTGCATACCTAATGCTGTTTCTTATTTACAAAATAGCAGCTTGGGGTGGGGGCAGCAATTTGGAGCAGAGAAGCAGTCTAACAACAGAATACTAAATAGCTACAGAGAATTAATTAATACTATTAATATTTGAGTTACCCACACTCTATGGTTGTGGTGCCTCCATGCAGAGCTGCCCGAACATATGGGGAAGCTGTTTGCTGATCAGAGCTATTTACATGGAAAATCTCCATGGCAACATCAGCAGCCTGCAGAAAGTTGTTGCACGGGTGCAGAGTTCCTAAGTACTGGTGTGGAGACTTTCTATGCAATAATGCTGATACATAGGATACACCTCTTATATACACTACAGAGGTCACATGGAAATTCCTACGTTGTCTGCCAGCAACCACATAACAGGTGCGATAAGAAACAACCTTTCAATTAGAACTTAAACAGCACATAAGATTTTACTTTAGGCTGGATATCTTATCTTATGGAATTCCCTCATGCTGCAAAACATTTAGTTCAGGGGAAAGGGCTAACTGAATAGGAAGGTGCTAATCTAGTACTAAATTTTGCAGCACAGGGTGAAAAGGAGGATATTTTACCACCTTCCCTTGCCTGTACAGAATGGAATAGTTGCAAGAAGGGAACTGGGGTCAAAGAACAGGAAACTTTTGGTAAATATCCCCTTAACTTATTTTCATACCCATTCCAGGATGTTTTAGGTTGCTAGGGGCTTTTCCTGCTTTGCAGCTGGGGAAGAGGGAATTAATAAGGATTGGAGAAAGCGCTTTTCCTCTGATCCTATTAAATCCCCTCCCTGCAAGCCAGGCAGCAGCAGCACCTGGCATCATTGGGTGACCCTGGCAGGGTCCACGGCTGCTTATGCCTGCTATGAGTCTCCCACTTGGCCCCTTTCCAGGGCCTGGGTTTATGAAGTGGCAGTAGCAGACAGCTGGGAAGCCACTGTTTCAAATAACACGCAATGCCCCCATAGTGATGCTATGTCTGGGCATTACAGTGGTACCTTGGTTCTCAAACTTGGTTCTCTGGAAGTCCATTACAAAACCAAAGCGTTCCAAAATCAAGGCACGTTTTCCCATAGAAAGTAATGCAAAATGGATTAATCCGTTCCAGACTTTTAAAAACAACCCCTAAAGCAGCAAGTTAACATGAATTTTACTATCTAACGAGACCATTGATCCATAAAATGAAAGCAATAATCAATGTACCGTACTATAAAATAAATAAAACAGTATTGTAGATGATAAAAATTAAAATTATTATTTTTTCCTTACCTGCACTGAAAATAGTCATTGTTTGGAGGGGGGGTTTATCCATTTCCGCAGTCACACAGTCAGTCAATCAATCAATCAATCAGTAGCTGAACTGGGATCCACACAGTCACAAAAACAAATTAACTGAAAAACCCTCAAAACAAAAAACGCACAATAAATAGCAAAAACAAAAGCACAAAATATAAGCTCCAAATATGACCTTAGAACACTGCAATCGGAAACAGAAGGCTTGAATTACAATGGGGGGTGCAAATTAGCAGCACAACAGGAAACACAGGGGGACTCAAAATGGAGCATGTTCGGCTTCCAGAAAAAAGTGCAAAAGCCAGAACATTTACTTCTGGTTTTGCAGTATTCGGGTTCCAAGTTGTTTGTGAACTAAGCTGTTCAAAAACCGAGGTACGACTGTATAGGTAATTACTGATGGGTGCCTTGCAGCCACCCAGCACAGTAGTGCATCTGCTTGTGGTAAGCCTAGGGCAGGAGGAGGGGCGTCCACTGAGGAAGGAGAAGACTCCATCAGAAAGCACTTTTCTTATAGCATCCTGGATTAGAAGGGTGATTAGGGCCAGAATATATACACCTCATGGCATACATTAATTTCCTGCCCCATGCCCTCCCACATACCCTGAAGATGCACTGCACTGCTTGGGTTCAAAGCTAGAGAAGCAGATTCCTCCAGGGGGCTGTTGAGACCATAGATTTATTGCATGCACTGTAAATAGGACTGGACTCAGGTCCGGGCAGAAACATTTTGGCACCGGAGGCAGACTCCAAAATGGTGCCATGCTCCCCACCACAGAATATCTACATCAGGAACATGGTGGGGAGAGAAAGATTGACATCGGGATCTGCTGCCCTAGTGGATTCTGCCACCTGAGGCAGTCACCTCACCTTGCCTCTTGTGTGGGCTGGTCCCAATTGGACTGCTTACTGAACTGCTGATTATTGAGATAAACGTTATGCATATAATGCAAATTGTGCATAAACGTTATGCACAATTGTGCTATCGGGAAGAGAGGGGATCCCAATAATTTAACACACACACACCATTTTTTTCCAGACCCCAACTAACATATTAAATGCTAGTCTATCAGAAGGCGAACGCAAATAATAATCTTTATACCTATTACAATATCGTCATTAATAGTAACACAGCATTATAATATGTATATTCCAGATGAGTTGTTTATTTAAAAAAAAAAAAACACTCCTCCCCGCTCCTCTGCTTCCTACCCCGCTCCCCTTTTTCTTTAAATTGCTGCTGCTGAACTCTCTCCGTTTCCGTTCTCAGCTCAGAATTCACCGCCCTCGCGATTATTTACATCAGCAGACAATCGTAGAGGGCGAGGAAAGGGGGGGGAGACCCTGGGACTTGTAGTCCTTCCCCGTTTCCTCTTCGGCTAACCTCACTTCCCCTTATAGAAGCTGTTTTTGTTTTAACATCTATGTAGTCTTGTACACGCGGAAGGAAGGCAGTGGACTACATTCCCCAGAAGGCCGTGCGCTCGAGAGTGGGAGAGGGAGGGAGGCGGGAGATGGACCTTGAGCCTTCTTCCTCTTGAGGCAGGAGAACATTGGAGGGTGGCGGGGGAATCTCCGCTTTCGCGCCGTCGCGTGGTCGGGAGCCGGGACCCAGCGCAGGGCGCGGGGGCAGGTTGGAGGAAGAGAGTGAAAACAATAAGGGCAGCGGCAGCACAAGCCGGCCGTTCCCGCTGCCGCCGCTTGGGGTTGGCGAGAGGAGGCATCGCCACCGGCTGCCGAGAAGAAAGCGGGCTGGGAGGCGACGGGGAGAGACCCTGAGAGACCGCAAGCGACCTGGGCGCGCTGCCGCTGCTGCTGCGTGGCTTGTGGGCGGCGGAGGACGAGGCAGGGAGCGAGGGGCTTCCCGGGGGAGACGGAGCGAGGCGAACAAAGGCGAAGGGACCGGAGGACCTTCCCTGGCCGAGAGGGAGCCCCGTGAGGCGGACGCTCAACGGGCAGAGTTCCCGCTGCCTTCCAGCCATGAGACAGAAGAGCAAATCCCGAGGAGGGGCTTCTGGCGGCTGGTGCTCGCTCTGCCGCGGCTCTCAGTGAACCCAACCTCCTCCCCTGGCGAGGAGGCTTCTTCCAGGAACGGTTCAAGGGAAAGAAATCTCTCGCTGCTGCTGCTGCTGCTTCTGCTTCTGACCCGTGTAAGCGAAGTGACTCCTGGTTCCCCTCAGCAGCAAGAGGAGAAGAAGAAACGGCGCCGAGGGAAGCGTGTGTGAGGGCGGCTATTTTATAACCGTGCCTCCCTCTTCCTTTCCCTCCCTCCTTTCGCCTGCCTTTGCCAACAGCTTCCATCGCTTTTGAACGGGGGCGCGTGGATGTCGGGAGGCGAGGGGGAAGCGGGTGCTGTCGCCGCCGCCGGGCGCTGTTTTCGGGTCGCTTCTCTCCCACACGCTGCTCCCGGCGATGAAAAGCGGGATCCAGGAAGCTGCTTCTGCTTGGTCTGGCTGCTGGGGATAAATAAACCCAGATAGAGTAGGAGGTGGAAAGTGAAGCACCCGCCGCTCTTTTGCTCGACATCAGGCTCTGTTCAAGTGGAAGGCAGCTCTGGGGTTGTGAGGGGGTCGTGGACAGATTTAGGTCCGACGACAGTTTGAAAGGAGCGGGGTAGGTGGGTGGGCTGCCAGCCCGATACCTTCTGGAACGGGAGACGAATCTTGGATGGCTTCACTATCTGACTGACTAATTCCTGTATCGAAGCTGGAATGAGTTTCAGAGAGCAACTCCTTGATTTGCTTATATAAAAGCCTGGAAGTCTCAATAAGAGCGACGGAAGGAAGAAAAGCGGAAGGGATTTATAATATAAACATTTTATTTGCATCTCTTTCCTCTGAAATCAAGTTGTTGTTTTTTCTGGAAGAAAGGAAGGGTGAACTGGATATTTGTTGGCAAATAGAAATGAAGGCTGGCTTTTAAAATGTCATGTATTATTTTTCCCCTGGCCATGGATATTGACCACCACATTTCTGTTTTGTTCCAAAAACTTTCTTTTCTATAGTGAGAGCAAAGAGGAACTAATAGTTTTTTGTTGTCATTCGGAGCAACAGCCAGAAAAATACAGGCAGCTTACAGAGTCTAGGAGGAAATTGGATATTATGGATGGTTTCTCAACTGCTGGTTTTGGATTTGGATATATGTGTTTGGAACAATTAATAGGAATTTTAATTTTTGTAAAATGATCTGATAAAGGATCTTAACAAACTTATATGAAAGGAATCTACTCGGTTACAAAACACTCTTAACATTTTTAACCAAGACATGCTTAAGGATGTGGATTTGATGTAAAAACTGAGCAGCTTGTTAAACAAAAGGAACAATGCTTCAAAATCCTTTTAAAGCACTATTTATTCGACAGTTGATTTATATTTTAGCTGTTTCTAGTTCCCGTTTGATTACATACTTTTAAGGAACTGTTTTGAACTGTTTCACTTCATTGTGAAGAAAGTATAGACTACTTATGACTTCTGCAATGAACAGTTAACTGGGTGTTGTATAATGCCCTGATAAACTAAAGTACTAAAAGTGGCTTCAAGGAAACATCTTACCCAAGAGGTGTTTTGGGGGTTACTCCCCTCCTTATTCCCCCTTGATGACTCCAGGAGGTGGTGGAGGAGGGCCCATGAAAGACTGTGAATACAGTCAGATCAGCACTCACAGCTCCTCTTCTCCCATGGAGTCTCCTCATAAGAAAAAGAAAACAACTGCCAAGAGAAAATGGGAGGTTTTCCCTGGAAGAAACAAGTTCTTCTGTGATGGAAGGATCATGATGGCTCGTCAGACTGGAGTCTTCTACCTGACCCTTGTTCTTATTTTGGTTACCAGTGGACTGTTCTTCGCATTTGAGTAAGTGGCGTTAAAAGTTTTCATTTATTTTCCCCCTTTCCATAATGATACAGCTTTTTGAAAAAGGTTTCTATTTCCATTCTGTTCTATAATTACCAAAGATGGTTTGTAGTCTGTAGGCATGGATAATTGAGCTGTACCTATATCATGACTGATATAGTTATGTTTACAGTATGTTGAGACCTTGAAGCTGAGATTGCTACTATTTTCCACTGCATCTATATTTAAAACAGCCATTCTTTCCTTATGTCCAGCAACTTGGGCTGCTACATATGAATGAGAAGACTAGTTATTCCTGTCTTTTTATTTTTCAAAACTATTACTTGATTGTACTTTTTCACACAGCTTGTACTAAGCTGAACATACTTGCATTTTTAAAAGAATTTTTTAAAAACCTTATTGAGTCTAGCTGAATGATTTTTAGATTACTTTGCAACAGGCTGTTAAGGAACCAGGTGTTTACATTTACAGTACATCCAACTGTGAACTACATTTTCCTCTTTCTCTGATCAAGTCCTCTGTGTAAAGGTATGTATGTATCAAGTTGTTAGCCTGCCAGTGGATGCAGTCTGTAGAACTGCAGTTTGTATCTGGTAGCATGGTCTGTTCATTATGCTGCTGCTTGGTTTAGTTAGATGAATTTTAAAACCTCATCCAAAAGGTAAACTTTGTATAATTAGGCTAACTAGACATTTCACAAAATTCCTCTTCTCAGCTATTGTTCAAACTTCCTTCTTTTTTGTTGTTAGGCAATTCTTCCTTTAAAAAAAGAAAAAAATATAAATCCACCTGTTCATCATAAATACCTTACTCACTTCCCTGTTTGAAAGGTGAAGGATATTGCTTCTGACTTTGCTTAGTCTTTGTTAGCTTTAAAGTCTTCTCCTCACCCCACAGCATCTAGTATTTGCAACTATGTGAGTTTGGTATTTAAAAAAAGAAAGGAAAAAAACTGTAACTGAGCAAGAAGTAGCGTGTAAATATGAGATACGTGCAATAAGCCTGTGTGATGAAAGTGATCAAGGAGCACTAGTGTACACACCCTTTATTGCTTCCTCTGTGGCTCATGCCTAGTTATGCTGTGGTGTCTTAAAGTTATGCTCATGGAAGGCTAGTTGGGCTTCCTATACATATCTAGTTTGCCACTGTGAGAACTGGGTGCTGGACAAGATGAACTGTTGGCCTGATCCAGGAGACCCTCCTTATATTATTAAGTGGACCTTTTAATGTACAGTGCAGTTTAGCATCCTATGGAGAAATTGTGTAAATTATGAATCCTGAGGGAAATGTTATTTGATAATCTGTTTAGCAGATAAGTTTTTTTGAACTGAGTCGTGATCCATTCTTCCATGCACTGAAAACAGTGGAGCCTACTTTTGAGTATAAACACATATGATTGCGCTAAAAGTATTTTTTTGTGCTTGGGGACGATTTTTTCCACAAGAGCAGGTTTTGGGTCGAGCCACTGAAGACATGGTGTGTTTACATGATCCATTTTTCATTGAAAGAAAGAGCTTCTGTTTCAGGTTAGTTTATATGAGTATGAATTAGATAAGGGGTTTTGTGGTCCATGGACCACCAGTGATATGTGAACCCCATTCAGCTAGTCCATGGCATGTCCGCATTAAAATTTCATATTTATTTTTAGTGGTATCTTCATTGTTTCTTTCATTTCTTATATTGTATTTTATTGAACTACAATTCAAATTCTGTGAAATGCAAATTACAATACAATAAGATACAACTTTAGAAATGAAAGAACCAATAAAAATACCATTAAAAACATAGTTGCTATGGCATGTAGAAAAATAATTAAGTACGGTAGTCAAGACCACCAGCAGTTTTCAAGCTGTCTGTGGCAGCGGGCAAGGAGAAATTGGGAACCACTGAACTAAATGCTGATCTGATCTTCAAAAGGTGAAATAGAGGCTGAAAGAGATTCTTGGTGAAATTAGACTTTCTTAGATCTCCAGATACTTGTTCATATACACTTGGTAAGTTGTCATATTTGATTTGTAGAAGTTGAAAGAGTTCCTTAGAGAAGCATAACTGCAAATCTGCATAAATAGATGGGGTTGGTGTTTGGTTTTTGTACCTACATATTTAAAACATGATGAGTGATACAGCACTGGAAGCTTTTGTCCATGTAAATGGGTGTTATTGTTGGGAGACCATATTGTTTCCATACAAAGTAGGAGGATAGATACCATGCTCAGTAATTTCACCTGCTGGAAGCATTTTATTCATCCTGCTTTATTATCTTTATTTTTCTTTTTTAGTCTCATCAAGTATCCTAATGGGCACCTTTCAGAGAGGTGCACCTAATGGATTTTTTTCAGTACAGCAATTCTTGCTTGAGTAGTGAGAAAATTTCACTAGGAAAATAATAAATCCTCTAATTTTAAGTAACCACTCACATCTTCATGAATCCATCATAGAGTTTGCTAATGCATGGAAACATACTATTTCAGGACTCACTTTAAAAGTTCTAAAGCAAAATGTTAGATCTTGTCCTTACCTGTCAGTGGGTATGACATGTATTGAAAGAGGCTAATCAGAAGTAAAGTACCGGTAGATTGCAAATAATCTGCATAAGAATAAAATGGTACAGCAGCTCTGGGTATTTCTGCCTCTTCCTGATGGCTAAAGAACAAAACATGTTTTGAGACAATAATCATGTGATAATCAATTTGTTGCAAATGCCCTATATACAGACACTGTTGCTCTACTTTTGATCTGATGTCATAAGTTTGGCAGTTATTTTTATCAGCCTAATAGGCTGTCATTTATTGAACTGCAATTTAATTTGAATTAGGCATATTAGAATCTAAAATCTTCTCAAAACACATCACATAAGTAACTCATTTCTATTCTACATACTTGTGCAAGACTCCATAGGTTTTTGTGTATTTGTACACTCTGCTTGCTGTTATCAAGAACTTTTTGCAACAAACACGCAGGCGAATGCTGCTAATTTTTCATAAGAGACACCACTTAACACTGGCATAATCTGTTATTGGTTTACTTTATTACATAACATTTAATTAAATAATATTAAATATTAAACAATCTGCAGGTGTTTCCCTTTATTTTTAATACAAAATACAAAAAGCTGTGAAGCTGTAATTAAGTGCATGCATGTGGTGGAAATTCTCCTGAGCGCTATTTGTGTGTAAATGTATAGCTGTACAGTGGTACCTCGGGTTACAGACACTTCAGGTTATAGATGCTTCAGGTTACAGACTCTGCTAACCCAGAAGTAGTACCTCGGGTTAAAAACTTTGCTTCAGGATGAGAAAAGAAATCGCGTGGCAGCGGCAGCAGGAGGCCCCATTAGCTAAAGTGGTACCTCAGGTTAAGAACAGTTTCAGGTTAAGAACAGACCTCCAGAACGAATTAAGTTCTTAACCCGAAGTACAACTGTAGTGGCTTACAAGGAGGTATATATTGCCATATAGCATACCAGGCAGATGTTAGAGTTCTTTTTGATAGGATATGGTGGATATCCTTTAGAATTGTGGGCATGTAATAATTAGTATTATTAAGTTTAAGGCTCTCAAAGCATCTGTCTCACAATGTAAAACATATTCTTATTCTGCAGAGAGAAATCTAATGCTCTAAAGCAGGTTTTTTTTTGTCTCATGTGCTCTAGTAGAATTCGTATGTCCCAGAAGATT